TCCCTCTTACTTATTTCTTGCTTCAAAGTAGCCAAACATTCTGTTAAAGTAGTCCTGACGATACTTTTTTTAGAAGAATATTTGCCTCTGTTGAATTAGAAGTCTCGATTCAGGCTCCTTACACAAATTAGTTCTGTTTTCAACATTTATTTTACCACACAATATGATGACGCTGGGGCCTAGAATGAGCAAAAGTTACGAGCTGCCTACCAGAGGTGGACACAGCTAACCAAAACTATAGCTTTTCCAGCTCATAATCTACTAACTAAAAAAATATAGCTTAACTAACATTAAACTGCTAAACATGTAAAATAAATTAGCACAGGCTAATGGTAAAGAGCTAAACTAGTGAAAATTAGCAGAAGCTAACACAAAGAGCTAAACAAGTAAATATTAGCAAAACTAATGCAAAAAGCTAAACACGTGAAAATTAGCAGACCATACAGAGCTCAACAAGAGAAAATTAGCATAAGCTAACGCAAAGAGCTAAACAAGTAAATATTAGCAGAACTAACGCAAAGAGCTAAACAAGTAAATATTAGCAGAACTAACGCAAAGAGCTAAACAAGTGAAAATTAGCAGAAGCTAATGCAAAGCGCTAAACTATTAAATATTAGCAGAAGCTAACGCAAAGAGCTCAACAAGTAAATATTAGCAAAACTAATGCAAAAAGCTAAACACGTGAAAATTAGCAGACCATACAGAGCTCAACAAGTGAAAATTAGCATAAGCTAATGCAAAGAGCTAAACAAGTGAAAATTAGCAGAAGCTAACGCAAAGAGCTAAACAAGTGAAAATTAGCAGAAGCTAACACAAAGAGCTAAACAAGTAAATATTAGCAAAACTAATGCAAAAAGCTAAACACGTGAAAATTAGTAGACCATACAGAGCTCAACAAGAGAAAATTAGCATAAGCTAACGCAAAGAGCTAAACAAGTAAATATTAGCAGAACTAACGCAAAGAGCTAAACAAGTAGCAGAACTAACGCAAAGAGCTAAACAAGTGAAAATTAGCAGAAGCTAATGCAAAGCGCTAAACTATTAAATATTAGCAGAAGC